AACATTACTTTTCACATCAAAAGCTCTTTAACTATTAAAACTTAAATTTAAAGGCTATTTTAAGCTTTAAGCTTTTTTTAAGTATTCAAAAATGCTAACAATTTAGGGAAATTGCTTTATTAGTTTTCTAATTCTTAGCTTTCTAATTCTAAACATTCTAAAATGATTTTATTAATCTCAAAGCGAATCGAAAAAGCTCAACTCGACTAATTGTTAACAATTAGAAAAATTGCATTATTAGCTTTCGATTTCGAGACAAGATTACAGTAGAAAGCCTAGCTTCGTTGTGATGAACTTGAAATCAGCGCTAAAAACTGTTCCCTTTCTATCGATAGAAAGGGGACAGATAAATATCGAAGGTAAGATTCCGATAGAAAGAGTTCTATCATAATCTTACCTTCAATTTTTATCTAATCTATCCACTTTTTACATCTTTCAATACAATTTTTCTCATAAAATTAGACAAAAAGTAGATAGATTAGATAAAAATTGGAGGTGAGATTACGATAGAAAGAGAAAGGGGAAAGTTTGGGTCTATCCCAAAACTTGCCAGTTCGTCTAGTGACCTTAAGTTAAACTCGGGCGTTTTCTATAATGCGCTCATTCTACCGTACCCCGTCGTGAGATTTCACCCTTAGCCTTTTTTTCCTCGCCTCTAACTCTCCTAATGGGTATATCCCAAAACAGCCCGCCAAAACAGCGCCGACCAAAATAGCGCCGACCTAAACAGCGCCAATGAAAAAACGCCCAAAACAGCGCCGATGCAAACCAAAATTTTTTTCTTTTACAATGTCCAATTCATTTTTTTTTATTAGCAGCTTTTAATTTTGATAATTTATTTAAAAATAACATGACCAACAACAATAAACGATAACAATTAAACGATGCATAAAAAGCATCAAAATAGGATCAAATTAATCGTCCAAGAGACTCTGAAACATCATAACACTAGCTATGGTGAACATAAACGGCTAGAGCTTTCAAGTGATCCGTAGTAGAAATAAAAAGTTAGTGAAAACGTTAAAAAAACAGGCCGTAAAAGGAAAAAAAAATTGTTAAAATCACTATTGTTGTGGTTAAAATCACTTTAATAAACGCTATCGCAGGTTTCTATGCGTAAAGCTTAAAAAAGATCGGATTCTCCGCCTTTTTTTACCCTAAAAAACACAAAAAGTGGACAGAAAAAGTTAAAAATAGCAAAGAAAAAGCAAAAGCAAAAATCTAAAAAATAATTTTTTTGCTGGTCGCTGTTTTGGGCGTTTTTCCATTGGCGCTGTTTTGGGTACGGCGCTGTTTTGGGTACGGCGCTGTTTTGGGTACAGCGCTGTTTTGAGTACGGCGCTGTTTTGGGTACGGCGCTGTTTTGGATACGGCGCTGTTTTGGGTACGGCGCTGTTTTGGATACGGCGTTGTTTTGGGTACGGCGCTGTTTTGGGTACGGCGCTGTTTTGGGTACGGCGCTGTTTTGGTCGGCGTTGTTTTGGGTACGGCGCTGTTTTGGGTACAGCGCTGTTTTGGGTACGGCGCTGTTTTGGGTACGGCGCTGTTTTGGGATAGACCCGTAAGTTTTTAAAACTGATTTTAAGGATATTCTACTTCACGAATAGTTGGAATTTGTTCCCGAAACCGGAATGATTAATTTTGTTTAGTTTTTTAGATATTCTCTAAAATTGAAACATTACTTTTCACATCAAAAGCTATTTAACTATCAAAACTTAAATTTAAAGGTTATTTTAAGCTTTAAGCTTTTCACAAGAGAACAAGTTTTAGAAAAATAAACTACTCACAAAATAAACAATAGATAACAACAACAATAGAACAATAAACAAGCAACAATAGAACAATAGGAAACTCGAAGCTTTATAACTCGTAAAAAACTTGATCTTTTACAAGAATCAGGAAAATTGCAACAGCAAAGCGAAACGTTTTTCCAAAAAAAAAGCAACTTTCATGTGTTTTTGTTGGGATTGTTGGGTGGTTTTTTTCAGGGTTTTCGCGTTTCTTTTTCGCCTATTCCGTCCTTCAGTCAAACTCTCATTTCTCTGCGGGAGAGAAAAGAGCACAGAATGGGGTTAGAATTAGACTTTTCAGCTCTGAACTGCCCATTTTTTCAATTCTCATTCTTTTTGTTGAGCAATTTCCTCTTTTTTTCTCCATTTTCTCCATCTGGTCAACAGTTTTAACAAACAAACAAGTCAGATCAACTCCATTGAAACTCCATTGAAACTTCCCATTGAAATGCAACTGATTGATAAGGAAAGTTTTTTAAAATCTTCTTTAAAACCGAGCTAGTACTAGCGATTTTGAAGAAAATTAGAAAATCAGGGTTTTTTTTGATATGGAGAATTCGATGGCGATGCAGGATTTGATGATTTTTGATGAAAAGCGAGTGTTATCTTTGATTCATTCGAATTCCGTTTTTTTCTTGCAATCCACCAGCTCTTATCGAAGACTTTTAAAATTTTTATATGTAAGTTTCAATAGTTTCAGCATTTTTTGATAAAAGCATTCATTGCTTTGATAAAAAAAATATGAATAAAGTTTATTTTTTTGCCTTGAACAATATCAACAACAGTCAGCGATAATAATGAAAATATGAAAAACCCCACCATTCATAAACGCCGTCGGTCATGCCTATATTCAATTTGCAGTAGCGTGCAACAGTTACATTGCGCTGAAATTTTCTGTATTTCTTACGTTACAAAATTCTAGATATGATAGTTTAAAAGTATCAGAAGTTTCAGAAGTTCCAGAATTGTTTTTAAGAAATCACAATAGAACAGAAATTCCGGTTTTTGGCCGAAATCCGGGAATTTTGAGTGCCGTATTGGCGGGTGGGACAAATGCGACCTTTTTTTTTGCTGGAAAAGGCCTTAGGAAAGGTCGTGGAGCTTCGAAAATGTTTCCATACTGGGGAATCGTATGCGTAGATTCCGAATTTCGAAAAATCAAAGCAAATCAGACCTCGCTGACACGTTAAATTTGAGCTAAAAGGCAAAAACTACGCAACTTAACGCTTTTCCGCAATCGAATCAAACTCTATTTGATATCAGTGGAAAGTTTGAAGTCTCCTTGTTACAACTATACAAAAAGTTAACAATAATATTGTCTCTGGGCAAAGTTATAGACCATCATCGCTTGATCACTCATTCAAAATGCTCGCATTTTGGTCAAGAGCCGAAATTCGGCTGAAATTGTCTTTGGGAACGACGAAAACTAGCTCAAATTTATATCGAAGATCTTGATCATATCGAAAAGAATAAACTTGAAAAACCTCTTCATCTTCATATTTACAAAATCCGTCAGAAGAAACGTGGTAACTGGATGCGGAAGACTCGCGCACACACGCAACTACCGCTGAAATATTTACCGTATTCTCTCTAATAGTAGTGCACACCACTATTTTTTTGAGCCCCCTCCTGGACCGCAATCCTATTAGAGAGTGCGGTACTATTAAAGAGTGCACCTCTATTAGAGAGAATACGGTAAATATTTCAGCGGTAGTTGCGTTTTATTTAAACATTTAAGCCTAAATGCCAAAAGTCACTCAACGAACAAAACAAACGTTATGAAAAGCTTCAACATGTTGCTGCTTCGATAATTTGATTTGAGAGCGACATTTGTGCCAAATTTACCCGTGGAGAGACAGTATTTTAATGTAATTGCGGAATTTTAATGTAAAAGAACGAAATTTAGCCGTGAAAGCGGTGAATCCATTGGTCAAACCTAGAAAGTTGCTCAAAGGTTCGGAATCACCTCATTTTTCAGCCGATGACAAAACTGACAAATACTTTTTTTCTTGACAAATAGTTTAGAAATATTTTTGGAGAGAAATTGTCTTTGGAGACTCAAGCAATCAAAAGTTTTCGTTGATTTTGACCACTATAAAGGTCATCGTTTGATGCTCATTATATTGTCGACTGCGTGATTATTCACCGCGTTTAAAGGATTTCGATCGATTTCGATCGATTTCGATCAAGTTTCGAAATTCGATCAAGTTCTTAACTTCACTAGAACGATTTTTCACAAATACTCTTCAGACCGACTTGTTCTTTGATCATTTTGAAGCTCTTGGATAACGAATAAGCAAAATGCAAAGAATAGTAGGAAAAGTACTTTTATGAGGATGAATGAAATTGATAGACAATTGATAGACAATTGATAGACAATTGATAGACAATTGATAGACAATTGATAGACAATTGATAGACAATTGATAGACAATTGATAGACAATTGATAGACAATTGATAGACAATTGATAGACAATTGATAGACAATGATAGACAATTGATAGACAATTGATAGACAATTGATAGACAATTGATAGACAATTGATAGACAATTGATAGACAATTGATAGACAATTGATAGACAATTGATAGACAAAAAGAATAAAGCTTGATTTGATTCAAAACTTTGCCGCTTTAAGAGCAGAAGCTTTAAGCTTTAAACTTTTTTGACAAAATCTTAATCAGAAGTCGATTCGATTCGAAAAAACGTTTTGTGGTCTTGAAAAGAAGCAAAAGATAGATAAGAATGTCTGATTGAGTGGAGAAAAGCAATCAAAGGCATCACCAAGAAATGTACCTGTACTTGAAACCAAAAATTCTCTTCAAAATCGTCAGAATGACCCTGATCAAATTGATGTTGAAAAGGGAGGATTTAAGCAAGCTCAGGAAAAGATAGGCAATCAGTTTCTCATCAGAAAACATCAGTTTCTCATCAATAATAACAACTTTAGCTTTATTATAAACTTAAGTTGAATATCTTTTGAGTTCTTTCTTAGATTTTGATATCTTGGAATTAAAATTTTAGAGTCCTAAAGGTCCTAAATGCCCTACTAGAGTCGAACTTGAATGCGACAAGTTCAATGAACTTCAATGCTTACTTTGTGCCTTATGTAAACATGTAAACATCACCTTTCTGGTGCAATAAATTCTTTTCATTTTCTCCAATTCACCTCCTCCACTGAATTTCTTGAAAGCCATATTTCAGAAGATGCTCAAACTCTCGGCTTTCGCCGTTTTGTTCTCTCTTCTCCTCATGGTCCAAGCGGTTCCTCTTGGAAAAAACGAAGGAAATCAAGGAGTTGGTTTTATTTTGGTTCTGCACAATAAAAAAATCAATGTGAAGGGGATGAATCAATGATAAACCTTTGATCCACCTATTTAGTCCGCTGCCGCTGCCAAGTTGATGCCTCAATTGCTTGACCCGATCCCCAACAATCCGGTCGTTCACCAGCCGACCAACTTGGATGTATGTTTATTTTGAGTAATCAAAGGACAAATATAGTATTGACTTAGCTACAGTACTGGACAATGAAATATCATATTTAGAAAAACGATCTTCACTTTCGTGCGCGCTGAAATGCCTCAAAAAATAAGTTATTTCTAAATATTAATATTACCATTGTGTAGCCCTTGAAAAGAGCTTGCAGAAAATGTATAACACTAATAGTTTATGCTCAAAGACAAGAAAGTTACAGACGTGCGAACGTGACGATCGTTTTTCAAATATGATATTTCATTGTCCAGTACTGTGTATGTCGTAGCCGATTATGAATGAGTGGGTCTAGGAGCGTCCAACCATCAAGTATTTAGTATTATTCAACGCAGAATCATTAATAATTATGTTAAATTTTTAAAATTAGAAAGATTTGATAAACAGAAAAAAAATTATGGGGCTTCAAAGTTTTCTCTTGAGCAAACAGTTTTTTTGCTCTATTTTTTTTTCTTTTTATCAAATCTTGCTAATTCAAAAAATTTAACATAATTATTAATGATTCTGCGTTGAATGATACTAAATACTTGATGGTTGGACGCTTCTAGACCCACTCATTCATAATCGGCTACGGGGGTCCCGCCGATTTTGAATGAAACGTTGTAGCGCCGGTAATTTTTAGCCTAAACTCACAAATTTGGTGCCAATCGACGCAGAATTGAATTCGCTACAAGATGATATAATATTGCCTTCATACATTAAAGGGTTGCTCTACTAGAAAGATTTGCCAAAAAATTTCATTCATAATCGGCTACGACATATATATCCAAATCTAGGGATGTGACATTCAATGCCCGCCCGGCTCTCATTGCTTTTTGCGCTGCGGATGGGGTGGATGCTCTCCTGAATGTGTGGATGGGGTGGCTCAGGATAATTTCAAGAGAAACAATGGAAATCAAGGAGTTCGTTTCACTTTTCGTTCTAAGAAATCAATGTGAAATTGACAAATCAGTGATATTCTAAATCAGTGATATTCGATGATCTCTTTAGTCCATTGCCAAGTTGATGACTCAAGTCGACCCGATCCCTAACAACCCGGCCGTTCATCAACCGTCCAACTTGGATGTATGTTTAATCTTGAATCATTGAAGCGTCGACCTTAGCTTATTTTAGCCATAGCCATTACCGTAGCCATTATCTAATACTAATCGACCAATAATAGTCCAAGCACTAATAATTTTGCAATAGATCTAGCACCTCATCTAGTCGGCTATCTAGTCGATCTTGTCGATCCAATCGATCTGGATCTGGTACAATAGGTTGATCAACGATCGGCTATCGGACATCCCGCCGCTTTTGAGATGGGAAATCTAACTTTGAGCCCAAATATCTTGGTGTTAGGCTGTCCAATTTAACTATTCTTGGTATCATTAGATACGTCAAGTCTTTCTCTGTCGATTGGTTTAAAAACTATTTAAATTGGACAGCCCAACACCAAGATATTTGAGCTCAAAGTTAGATTGCCAATGGCAAAAGGGATGGGGCCCGTATCGGGCTCAAATAGCTCAAAGCGGAAGGCTACAATCTCAACGATCATATAGTGGCATATTGTAGTCTGGTCTAGGTCCTGGAAACTAAGTTAAGGGCAGGCCAGGCAAGGGCGGAAGGTTTGCCCTGCTCTGAACCACCTGGCCTAGTCTGACATTGACTGTAGAATAGCCTTGAATCTGGTACGTGGCAAGTGTCTCACCGTGACAATGTCTCATTCTCTCACCGTGATCACAAGATATATAGTAGCCTTGTTGAAGTTTCTCAAGTAAAATTCCAACCGATTATCCAATTCTAGGATCAATGTGACATTGATTGCCCGCCCGGCTCTCATTGCTTCTTGCGCTGCGGATGGGGTGGATGCTTCCCCGGGTGTGTGGTTGATATGGCTATTTCCAAGGCTTGAACACCCACAAAAGAGACAATAAATCTTCTTGCATTTATTGTCAGCATTCAATTTGAATTGCACAGTGCAATTGATCTCGACAACATTCTTGCCGTACTGACATCAATCCAACTCTTTTTGACGGCTAGATCAAATTATTGTCGATTTTTCTCTTTGTATAACTCCGTCCGTTCGCTTCCACAAGCTCTGATATGTCAAAATTTCGATTCTACGCCCTAAAATTACCTAGAAAAACAAACTTTTGGAATAGAAATTGGTTAATATTAGCTTTTTAGAGCTTTTTTAGAGCTTTTTAGCTTTTTAGAGCGAAAAAAGGTGCGCTAATGGGCAAGGTGCGGAAAAAAAGGTGCGCAAATGTCCGGGTGCGCAAAAAAAGGTCGCATTTGTCCCACTCCCATTTTGCGGCAACTTTTTCTGGGTTTTCGTCAAATTTTTTTCATTTTCAAAGTGTTCCGGCTGTCGACGAAAAATCTACCCTTTTTTGAGCAACCGAACGGGATATCAGAACGGGAATCAAATATTAGAACTGTCCAGAAAGTGGCTACTGAGAGAGATCACAGCATGTCTGACAGCAGGAAAGTGTGCAAGTGGATTTCAGATTCAAAAGAAATTCAAAATTCAATAGAATTTGAATACAGGGTGCGTCATAATTATTGCAACAAGATACTCAAGGCATTGCACACCAAGAAGTTTCACTGGAAGAAGATTTTTAAACAGAAATAGCTTTATTTAACAGTAACAAATAAGGAAACAAGAGATCATTCGCTATGACCGCCTTTTGCCTTGATAACAGCCCTTAATCGGTTCGGATATGCCTCCAATGCGGCCCGAATGTCATCTTGAGGAGTCGCCTTCCATCCTTTGGTCAAAGACTCAAATGGTCAAAGACTTCTTCAAGGTCAAAGAGCAGACATTAGCCTCTAAGATTGCCCAAATGGAAAAGTCCATCACATTGAGATCCGGTGAGTTTGGAGGCCATTCATCCTTGGTGATCACTGAGGGAAAGTTGGCCACACACACCAGTCCTGAACCGTCTTCTTCGTGTGAGCGGGAGGCAATTAGGCAAGAATAAAGAAGATAGAACGCAACACAACAAAAAAGGGGGCAAAAAAAAAATAAGAAAGCTGTTTGGAAAACGGTCTTTGAACTCTTGTTGCAATAATTATGACGCACCCTGTAGAATGCCGTGATTTGAACCCCTGACCCTGCTCTATCAGTGCTCTCCTGCTCAGTGTTCCTTTGCAGCTAAGATAAGCCTTTACGTCTTACTTTTTTTTGAGTTAACGATACAAGTTTTCAGTTTTAGATTTTCGGCAATATGTTCACAATGCAAAAATTGATAAATTGATTTTTTATTTTCACTTTTTGATCGTGAAAAGCTGAGCTTCAGCTGAAATCGCTTCAGCTCATCGCTTCAGCTCATCGCGGCGAGAATCTCAGCTCCACAGTGCGAGTATTCCGGAAGCTGAAGGTTAGTTTAAAATTAAAACGACGTTTTACAATTGTACATCGAATTTTCCAGCGTAATTTTCCAGCGATTGCACCAAAAACGAACCTTTGCGAAAATCGTGTAGAACTGCTTGGCCATCGCGTCAACGTTGTCCACTTTGCACACTTTTTCGAGCTCTTCGGTGTGACATTTCGTGCTTTTCACAACTTCACTGAAAGTTTAGCTTAGTTATGTGGCTTTTTTTTAAAGTTCTGAACAATTCTGAAACAATTCAACGCAAAATTTATTCACGAACCTGCAATCAGCTTCAGCACGGGGCATCTCCCCGCAAGTCTTGTCAATTTGCGCGGAAATTTCATCGGTTTTGCATCCGGCAAGTGGAGCAACTGAAGTGATTGCTTTGAAAAATTCATAAACCATAGTTTGGCATGGCCTTGGCATGCTTGGCATGGCCTTGGCAGGATTCACAAGCTGTAAGACAGGCTGTAAGACTCGTCTGTAAGCTCTGTAAGTAAGACTCACAAGCTGTAAGACATCGTCTGTAAGCTAGCCATAACCTGAAAATGGAAAATCGTAAAACTCGCCCTCTTCGAGCAGATTCTGGAACTCCTCCGTGCAAAGAACATCGTTGTAGAAAGTCGACCTTTTCACATCTTCTCCAGCCCACAGTTCTTTCGCCTCTTCGGGCAGTGTATTGAAGTAGCTAAAGAACTTTGAAGTAACGAAGTAACTGAACTTTGTAACAACAACTAAGTTTTAGTTAAAAACTTGCCCTTCTGTACCGTTTATTTCAAAAACCCACGTGCAAAACTGCTTTGTGATCGTCGCATTCGGGATTTCGCCGGTCTTTAGAGCTTCGACACCTGAATATTCACAGGATAGAACTACAGTCTTGTATCACAGGACAGAACTAGAGTCTTATCTCTCTTTTCCCTGAAAGGCTTATTTTGCAAAAACATTTAGTGGTTTAAGCCTTTGGGAGACAATGGTGCAAAGCCTTTTTTTGATGACTGTAACAGGAGTTGTTTAAACGAGAACAAGTCAGGTCAGGTCAAGTCCTGACTTAGAAAGCATTCGATCAGAAGCCAGGGCCTGTGCCTTGGTCGGTCTAGCTTCTGGCTTAGGCTTCTGGCAGTTCAATTTTTTGAAAAAAACAACATTTATTCCGCTTCCAGCAAGTGCTGAAAAGCCGCTTCCAGCAAGTGGTCATAATTTTACGACTAGTTGAGCAATTTTCTTTTCTTTTGTGCTGTTTTCAAAGAGAATCTTTTTATTTTAGTGCAACTTGGCACACTGTAGATCAAAAACTCATCGACAAGCTCGTTTTAAGCATGGACAACAGAGTTTTTCAAGTGATTCAGCGCTCGGGAGACCCAAATGATTACTGATTCGTTATTTTGAAAGTTTGGTTAATATGTTTTGATAAGTGTTTAGTTAATTTCTCAATTTCTCTCTTATGACCACTTGCCGGAAGCGGCTTTTCAATAAATGTTGTTTTTTTTCAAAAAATTGAACTTGATGCGCAGGTTTTCTTCTGTCTTCTTACATCAATTATAACTATGAATGCTATTTAAAATATGATTTTTGATGGAATTTCATTTTTCTTAAAAAGTATTGGGTTGTCCAGTTAGGAAAGTTTTGTAAATATCTTTGTAAAAGCCAATCAATCTTTAATGGCTCTAAAGTTTGGTTTAACGTTTCTAAAGCGTTTCTAACGACGAGACGTTTCTAAAGTTCGATCGTCAGCTCCAGATCTAGTGCTTGATCTATTGGGTTGTCCAGTTATGAATGCGCGTTTTTACTATTTTGTAAATTTCTCAAGATATCGAACAGATGTTTATGAGTGTTATATATCATTCGAAAGCTGAAGATCTCCTCTACATTTTGGAATAAAAAAGATTTGGAATTCGTTCAGCTTTTGGGCAAATTGATTGCACAAAGGGAGAGGTCGTTTTCGAAAAATCCCCTAGCTATTCCAGCTTAGCTATTCCCCAAGTTTTATGGTGTAAAATAACCGCCCAGAAAAGAAAAGTAAAGATGCTCTGAAATTGTTATATTTTAAAAAAAGTTGTATTGATATATCTATTGGCCAAACATCAAACGGTTAACTCAATTTGAGCGGAGCCAAAACTTGATCCAAAGGCACCCTTCCATTTTTTGGTCACCTCTTCTTCTGTGCAGTCCAAGCTTTGTGCAACCCAAAAGCTCGACAAATTCAAAAGCTTTTTATATCAACATGTAGAGGAGATCTTCAGCTTTCGAATAATACTCGTATATATCTTTTTCTTGATTTCGGTATCTTGAGAAATTTACAAAATAGTAAAAAACGCGCATTCATAACTGGACAACCCAATAGCTAAAAGATGGGGTGGTCGTAAAATAGTTTCAGTGCAGTTTGGATCTCTATCTTGATATTGACTACCTTGATAGCAGACGATGAAGCAAACAAGAGCTGGAAGAAACATTGCTTTGCAGTTTCGATGAATAAAATGTTGTTTTTGTTTCGAAATGCCACCAATACTTATCGAAAAGTAAAACCACCGGATAAATTTCCATTTGGGGCGAACTTTTTATGTGTTTTCTCTTATCTTTTTTATCTATATCTATATTTTTTTTCACTTTTCAAAACGTTTCGGCTTTCCGACCGAACTCTGCTCTTTGTGAGCGATCCAACGGGATATCCGAACGGTGATCAATCAATTTTTCGTTCCACTCGCACGAGTTTTAAAGTACTTTTTAAAAATTGAAACTGTTTGAAATTGAAAGTGAAATAAAAACTGTTCCGGGAAAGAAATGTGGAAGTGTTTTCAAGGATGGCGCATCATTTTCTGGCGCAAAGATGGCGCATCAGACTACAAATTATATTGTGATCGTTTTCGTTTGTGAATTCCTTCTGCAAACCACCAAAGTTCCTGCCAAAGTTCTACAAATCTTCAAGTTTCCATTTAAACTCGTGGAAAGGCTGAACGTCGGCTGAACTGTCGGCTGAACACATCATCCAAAATCCGTATTCTTTTTCGTTTTGTGTTTGCTCGGTCGATACGTGGCACAGAGTTGCGAACAAAAAAAACTATGGAAACGGGTTGGAACAAGAGTCGAGAACTGACCTAAAAAGCGGTTTTCTGAGTCACTTGAAGTCTTTTTTTTTGCTGAAATCCTGAAATCCTATGAATTCCATAATGTCAATTCTAAAAGATGAAGTGATTTTGCTTAAATCAAACATTTTCGAGAAGAAATTCGGTTGGAAAGATATGGAAATAATTCTTTCAGCGAATACAAGCACAGTTTATATTGGGTGAGCTTTTTTTTTCCAAACGTTTTATTGAACTTTTGACAATTCAATTTCATTGTCGAATCCTTGAAAACAAAACTGAGTTTTATAGATTTACAGGAGTGCCATGTTGGGAACGGGAATCGATAACATTCCCATTTCCCAACATGGCACTCCTGTAAATCCCTAATCCCTTCCTGATGAGCCCCATCCCTTCCTGATGAGTCCCATCCATCATCAGGAAGGGATGAGTGGTAAATTTCTACAGAAAACATCACGAGTAAATTTTCAGAAAAGCCGAAAAGACGGAAAAGTTGAAAATTGAAAGCAATGGGGATTGGAAAATGGAAATCCGACGGATAAACAATGCTTAACAAGAGCTGAATTCGATGGATTCGTTTTGAGTCTGGGAGAAGGACTGCGGGCGAGTGAGTGTCCAATCTTGGCCTCATTTATTTATCTGCTTATCCTATCCAGTTATATAAGTCTTTTAAAAAGACACTTCTTTTAAAAAGCTATTTAGAAAGAACGAATTCACCGATTCACTTACGGTTCACTCACTTAGAAAGGCTTATTATTATTTTTCTATAAAATATCGTTGAAAGCTCAAGATTGGTGGTCAATTGGTGGTCAATTGGTGGTCAATTGGTGGTCAATTGGTGGTCAATTGGTGGTCAATTGGTGGTCAATTGGTGGTCAATTGGTGGTCAATTGGTGGTCAATTGGTGGTCAATTGGTGGTCAATTGGGGTCAATTGGTGGTCAATTGGGTCAATTGGTGGTCAATTGGTGGTCAATTGGGTCAATTGGGTCAATTGGTTGTGGTCAATTGCGGTCAATTGGGTCAATTGGGTCAATTGGTGGTCAATTGGTCAATTGGGTCAATTGGTGGTCAATTGGTGGTCAATTGGTGGTCAATTGGTGGTCAATTGGTGGTCAATTGGTGGTCAATTGGTGGTCAATTGGTGGTCAATTGGTGGTCAATTGGTGAATTTGTCATTTATAAATCCTAGTATTGGGTTGTCGTGCCGTAGATTTGACGTGTACAAAGAGGAAATGGAAACATTTCAAAAGAAATTCTGGACAGATGCTCAATTCGCTCAATAAATGAGAGATCTTTGAAATTCAGTAAGATGAAATTCAGTAAGATACATCAGTAAGATACATCAGTAAGATGTATTTATTGATTTCAAGTTGTTTCAAATCTGCTAATCAGATTATATAGTATAAATTCTAGCTAGCTTTCAAAGAAAAATCTAAGTTCTTTTTAAATTTATCAAATATTGGGTTGTCCAGTTATGAATGCGCGTTTTTTACTATTTTGTAAATTTCTCAAGATACCGAAATCAAGAAAAAGATATATATGAGTATTTTTCGAAAGCTGAAGATCTCCTCTACATGTTGATATAAAAAGCTTTTGAATTTGTCGAGCTTTTGGGCAAATTGACTGCACAGAAGAAGAGGTGACCAAAAAAAATGGAAGGGTGCCTTTGGATCAAGTTTTGGCTCCGCTCAAATTGAGTTAACCGTTTGATGTTTGGCCAATAGATATATCAATACAACTTTTTTAAAATATAACAATTTCAGAGCATCTTTACTTTTCTTTTCTGGGCGGTTATTTTACACCATAAAACTTGGGGAATAGCTAAGCTGGAATGGGTTTTTTCGAAAACGACTTCTCCCTTTGTGCAGTCAATTTGCCCAAAAGCTGAACAAATTCCAAATCTTTTTATTCCAAAATGTAGAGGAGATCTTCAGCTTTCGAATGATATACAACACTCATATACATCTGTTCGATATCTTGGGAAATTTACAAAATAGTAAAAACGCGCATTCATAACTGGACAACCCAATAGATCAAGCACTAGATCTGGAGCTGACGATCGAACTTTAGAAACGTCTCGTCGTTAGAAACGCTTTAGAAACGTTAAACCAAACTTTAGAGCCATTAAAGATTGCTTGGCTTTTACAAAGAAACTTTCATAACTGGACAACCCAATACTTTTTAACAAAAATGAAATTCCATCAAAAATCATATTTTAAATAGCATTCATAGTTATAATTGATGTAAGAAGACAGAAGAAAACCTGCGCATCAAGTTCAATTTTTTGAAAAAAACAGTCATTTATAAATCCAAGTAGAAAAACGTGTCTAAAGACTGTCTAAAGATTTATGGGCCAACCTCAAAGAAAACTTTGTCTTTCAGTTAAGGGTTAATTATCAATTATAGCTATTAATCAATTAAATAGTTAAACAACGATAACTTATCTAAATTCTTTTTTGAATCATCACCATCACCATCACCTCATCTATCATTACACAGTTGACAACCAAATACTACTGAACTTTTTTCCAAGAGGAGATTCAGGGCTTTCGATTTAGATTTCGATAGTTTAGTTTGTCTTTTAATTTTCACCGAGTTATCAGTAAAATAGTTAACGACTACGCGACTGTACGCCCAACAATACATTAATAGTTCTGAAAGAATTTAGCTGTCTTTTTTATTTCCTGTTCTGAGTTGAATTAGCTGAACCGGTCTAGGCAAATAAAGCTTTCAAGGATCCAAGTTTGTAAGATTTCCAAATAAAACCTACTTAGCATCAATATTTTCCTCGTTAACCATTGATTTTCAGGTGAAATGATCGAGGAAATCTTTCTCGAGGACGCTCTTCAATTACTTGATGTCAAAATCGCCGTCAATGCCGATTTTTATCGAAATGATTTATGCAGTTTGGAGAAAGATCTCGAGATGGATCTGGATTTGCAACAATTGCAGAACTTCTTGAGTGAGTAAGACAATGTTTTGGTTTTGTTTTGGCGAAGCTCAGAAAAGACTCAGTTTTCTTTGATCAATTCTGAGTCTTGTTCTTGTTTCTTGTCAAATCTTGTTTTGTCCCTAAATCCATCCAAATTCAGATCCCCACCATGAAAAGGGCAATGAAGGAGAGCTGATGTACAAAGCTTTCACCAAATACGTCGATCCAGAGATTCCCGAAATCGATCACAGTTTAGTGACATGGCAAAAACACGTGATGTTGAATGATTGGAGAATCGTGCAAAAGGATCAAAAACAGACGAAAGCCACGTGCATTCGTGGAGAGAATTATCTCCTCTTTCATCTGATCACCGAGTAATTCCTGTCATTTGCCAGTTTGCTTTAAATTTTCTTGAAATAAACATAAAGTTTATTCATCAAATACACCAGAAAATATGAAAACGATAAGTGCAATATCAGAAAATTCGAGTAGGAAATCGTTGAATTGTGGAAATTTGAGTTTGGGATCTTGCCGATGGAATGGACACAAACAACCCCCGACGTCGCGTCCGTCGCCGCCTGTGCCGTCCGTGCCGTCCTGTCGCCGTCCGTCGCCGTCCGTGCCGTCCTTCGCCGCCTGTCGCCGTCCGTCGCGTCCGTCGCCGTCCTCGCGTCCGTCGCCGCCTGTCGCTGTCCGTCGCCGCCGTCGCCGTCCTGTCGCCGTCCTGTCGCTGTCCTGTCGCCGTCCGTCGCGTCCATCGCTCCTGTCGCCTCCTGTCGCCGTCCTGTCGCTGTCCTGTCGCTGTCCTGTCGCTGTCCTGTCGCTGTCCTGTCGCTGTCCTGTCGCTGTCCTGTCGCTGTCCTGTCGCCGTCCTGTCGCTGTCCTGTCGCTGTCCTGTCGCTGTTCTGTCGCCGTCCTGTCGCCGTCCTGTCGCTGTCCTGTCGCTGTCCATTTCCGATCTTTCAAATCCAATTTGAGACTAGAATTGAAAATTGTGGAGGCTGGTGATCAAATATAACTGATTTTTTGAGTGAAATCAAACCAATTTTGGTACATTCGGTTAAAATCCCAAATCAATCAAGTCTCAAGTTACAGAGTTCAGGTTCGGATCGAATTTATCCGCTAGCTCATAAAAGTCAGGCAAGCACTGCCGGATCCTAGGCATTTTTTTTCTTTTTACACTATCGTAGCCTTCTTGTATTCTCTGCAATGATTCGTTCACTGAAAATTCAACTCTTTGACTATAAGATCCGTCAACTGAATCAACCAATCAGCCAAATCAATCAGCCAAATCAATCAACCAAATCAATCAACCAAATCAATCAACCAAACTCACCGTTTATTGCTCACATCCGCCATCAAGTTCGGAATCACTCTGAAACCGGATTTCTTTGAACTAAAAAGTATATATTACAAGCTTAATTGGTTTTTTATGAACAAAATTGGACTTCAGATCGCACAGAATTTTTCCTCTAATTCTTCATCAACGTTGCTCTGGAAACTTTGGATTTGGTTTTGCAGCAATCCACTTCTTGACAACTGAGTATCTTTATTTAAAATGAATGCAACGTGATTGCTATGAATGCAACAAGTATTTTCGTCCTTCTTCATAGTCTCTTTTAAAAACAAAGAATGCACCGATTGAACGACGGTTTGATTCATTAGAAAGGCAAATCATTTTTTTACAAAATAACATTGAAATGAGTTTAAAATGTCTTATGTCTGAATTTTTTTGGGAGCGAGAAGTCGGATAGTCAGAAAGGGCGACGGCTCGATAATGTGGTTTAGACATTTTAGTTAAGGAAACCTACCTTCATGTCAATAGATAAAAGATAGAGCGCAAAAAGTTAGACATAGAGAGCAATTTTCAATGAAATCGATTCCGTTAATTTCTTCGTAGAGTCTTTTATAAATTTTTTTACGAAAGATTCGTTTTCGCATTTGAATCTGCTTGGAAACGGGTCTAAATTGGCATAAAAGATTGGAAATTGAATAATAAACCCTTTTCATTTGAAGTAAACCTTAGGTAAATCGGTGAATTTTTGATGTTTTAAATGAAAGTATGAAAAAGGGCGAAAAGACTTGTTTGGCAGTCGAATAGATTTGTGACTCGGCTCGTAGATGGCCAATAGGTCAGATTTTAGTCGATCAGATCAAATCAATACTCCATATCCAACTCTACCTTCCACTCATCCCAAAAAGTGATCATCTCAAAGAGGGGAGGAAAGACGAGAGCATTTTTGCGACATGCGGCCGAGCGTTGTCGTGGAGGAATTTTGTCGACGCCGTATCCACACCTTGACGTCGCAGCGCCTGGTCCACGCGGTCCAATTGGCCTTGGTAGAGGTTCGCCGTAACTGTTTGACCCGAATCCAGAACCTCAAAGTACACCAGGCATTTACTGTTCCACCAAACACAAAGCATCACCTTTTTTCCGTGGATGTCCGGTTTTGGAGTCGGTTTTGGAGCTTCACCTGGGTCCAACCACTGTCGCTTTCTTGCTGTGTTGTCGCATTGGATCCACTTCTCATCCGACGTAACAATGGAGTCGAAAAACCCACTGTTCTTGGCGCGGTGAGTGAGAATTCCTGCGCTTTTGAGGAACCTGGCGCAAACTTTTTTGCCAAGTCAAGCTTTTTACTTTTCCATAACCCACCGCAAACTTGAGAATCTCAGTCTTTTCCACGGGTACCGCATAATCGTATGGCGTGCCGTCACGCCATTTCTTCTCTCCTTTAACCACTTCAAGACCCTTAATGCTGAAGCTTAATGTTTCGAAGTCGACTGTTTGATTCAACATTCCTTTTGTTTTATACAGAAGATCTTATCATGGCACAAGCGAGATTCGTTTGCAAGAAATCGGTCATTTCAGAGTAATTTCCGGATTGGTTGAAACTGATGAATGTTCAGACAAATAAAATATGGTGCTGATGGCATTTTCATGGCAAAACATGACCCCAATTTAATAGAAAAAGAAGCAAGGTCATTCCTTTTCGGAAAATCGAGCCCGTTTTGGCGAACGGAAAGTCAGCGGAAATGGATATGAAACGGAAATTTTCATTTCCTTTTAAAAGAGTCGATTTTAAGAGATTTCTTTTGTAATTTGTTTCTCAGTCATTTGTTTGCAATTGCTTTGTGAGTACTGATTCCATTAAAACCCAACTAATTTGCGCCTTTTCTTTTTTTTCTCAAATGGCTGTCGAACAATTCGAATTACTGCCTGAATCGTTGTAAGTTTAAAAAATGTACCTTTACTTGACCTTTACTTGAGTTCAATAAGGACATTTGAACTTGAATTAAGAAGGAACTTGAATTAAATTTGATTAAAAATATTTTTGAGATCAAAATCCGCATCCAACCACTCCTACAGTTTACTCGATTTTTGTGTACTCATTACCTATTTCCTGGGCCTATTTCTTGGAATTAGCGGAACTCTGCTTGTTGAGAAAAGGTCAGCTGTATTTTGGGAAGATTTTTCATTAGTTTTTCATTAGTTTCTAAAATGTGTCAACTTCTGAAAGATACAGCAACGTTGCCTCTCTTTATTCAATCTATCATTTTGGTTTGATTTGTTCATAAAGGAAGTTGAAAGAGACGAAAAAGTAAACACAGTGGTCCACAAAAGTAATGCCCCATTGCCATTTCAAAGGTATTTTTTGCAAAATTCCTCCTGAAAACATGTATTAGGTGTGTGAAAAAGTAATCCACGTTTTTAACGTTTATGCGGTATCCATTTGTCGAACTTTTTGATAAAATTCATGGCATTTCATGGCATTCAAGCGTTTCCTTACGGTTGACCCATCACAATTTAATGTAAGGCCTATTTCTGAAGAGGTTGAACGAGGGTTTTCGAGAAGACAGCGCACATCGGCGCGAAATAAAGCAAAAATGCGTTTTCTATCGAATTTTTCTGGGAGTACCTTTTTTAGATGCGGAAAATTGTGCTGATTCCGAATCTGAAGGAATTTTTCAAATCCCTCTGACAGAAATTTTTTAAATTGAGTTTTAGCGGTTTTTGAGTCATTTTGTATGGGAGATTTTGAGCAAATTTGATGATTTTTGTATCAAAATGTTTGTGAGAGTCTCTAGAATAAAAATTATCCCCTCGTTTTTTGTTCTAGACCCTGATTGTCGAGTTACGAGCCCCAAACTGCAGGGTACCACAAAATTTCCCCATACAAAATGACCCAAAAACAGCTAAAACTCAATTTAAAAAATTTCTGTCAGAGGGATTTGAAAAATTCCTTCAGATTCGGAATCAGCACAATTTTCCGCATCTAAAAAAGGTACTCCCAGAAAAATTCGATAGAAAACGCCTTTTCGCGCCGATGTGCAGCGTCTTATTTGGTCATCCGAACAGGTCTCAGGGCGACCGCCACGTGGTTCATCGTCTAGGCTTTCATTACCACCTTTGAATCGTTGGAACCAAAACCAAGCGGTATCATCAGTAACGGCGTCTTCGCCAAACGCATTCCGAATTCGACGTGCGGCCTCCGCAGCTTTCAACCCATTTTTGAACTCATAAAGCAAATTTGACCGAATAACGTTACTTGCGTATACTATTTTCAAACTAAAATGAAGGTAGTTTATTGTCGTCCTTTTAACAAAATGAATATATCATTCGAAAGAGGAAAAAATAAGCTTTTAAACGATATATATGTCGTAACTGATTATGAATTTCAGCCGCTAACGAATGAGGGTATTTCCGGGCATCCAATCAAAAAGTCACCCACATAAAAAATGTTCATAATACATATATTTTCTAATAAATTTTTGAAATTAGCTCATTTGGTTCAGTAGAAAAAATTTTTTGAGCCTCCAAAGTTTAGGTTCAAAAATGCCCTAAAATAGCTATAAAAAATTTTCTACTCAGCCAAAAAACTTGCCTAATAGCTCATTTTATAGCCATTTGATGTAGTTTCTTAAAGTAACGGTTCCAATACGGTTCCAATACGGTTTCAATACGGTTCCAATACGGTTTCAATACGGTTCCAATACGGTTCCAATGCGATTCCTTTTATGGTTCCAATACGGCTCCAATACGTCGAGAGACAATTCGATCCAACACTTTCCGCATTTTTCAACGGTGAATAGCACAAAAGGTTAAAAGGGCTTTCCCCAAAAGCGCTTACAACGTAACAAGAACACGTAGTATCCAACAATAAATTAATACTCTTGAGAAGAGTACGGATCGGATTGATACTACGTCGATGGTGACACAAATGTCAGTAAAACCAGTCTCTCTACAATGTTAAACCAGTCATCTAAAATTAACCAGTTATCAGGATTTAAAACCTGAAGGGTAGCATAAAGTAAAGTGAATTTATAACGTTACTGTTTATTAGTACAGAACCGAAATGCAACAATACCCATTA